ATCTCATGGTGATACCTGGTTCTTTTCTTTAATTCTCGCAATTTCTTTGCTATAGATAAAAGCGAATGCTGGTCTAAAATTTTAAACATTTTGTTCCAGATAGCTTGTTTGGTAATTTATATTATAATGCAAATTAAACTCGACTACTAAATGAATACCGAACATTGTTATACAATCGCAAACTTCAATAGGTATGCTGACGTAAGGCTGAATATGCTCCACATTTCAAATATTCAAACTTCACATTTTGCCAATATTTTTTGGTAGGCTGCATACTGCGGAAGCACTCGATTACAATGACGATTGATTAGCCTCAAACTACTCAAAACTGTATTATAATTTAGTGCAATAAGGAAAATATTAAAAAACCACGAGCTTCGAATATACATGCATACGTTTCAAATCAGAATGATATTCTTCCCATTGCGATTTCTCGATTTTGGGCAAATGGTAATATTTACTTTATTCTGCAGCAGTTTTGACGACTTTATTGCATTTCTATTTGCTCTTTATAGCTTCACAAAAAAAAATTGAAATAAATATGAATGATATGGAACAATCATCCTTTTTGCCAAATTGTTCACATCGACAAATTTGAATTCACTTAGCAAATTTGATTGCTAATATACTTTCCTTGATTCCTGTGGGACATCGTTTCATTGTTTCGGATTTTTTGATCCCAGATTAGCCGCTACTTTCTTAATTATCTCAATTATGGTTGATGTTGAACACACTTTCAAAACTTGAATGATCATTTATTAGTAAATGTTGTTATATTTAGGTGCACAATTCTAACATACCCGCAAACCTTGGATGCAAATATTTTGAAATAATAAAGGGGAATGTAAACTCCACTATAAAATCTACACGCAATCAGAATTTCTTAATATTATAGGCCAGTATTCTTCAACCTTTTACACAGTGATGTATCTTTTTATAATTTTTCAAGAACTTTGTATACTTTACAAATACCAATGTTTATTTAAAGCTTAAATAAACATTGAATTTTAAGCACAGAATGTAAAAAAAAACTAAAACTGACGATACTGCAATATAACCATGCAATCTATAGGTCTACTGTCTAAGTTGTAAAGTAAAAGGTCTAAATTTGACTGACGGCCCTAGCGCCAGCGGGAATAGTGCTCAACGTAAATCAAGCCACGTGCATGACAGCTGAAATCATCAACCCCAGACACGTGCCTGCATTATCTAGATAAATTGTGATGTAACAATGTACTCAAGTAGGTTCGTTGGGTAAATGCCTTTTATTTTCACGTGCGCCACGTTTGCATTGTTGTCTCCAATTGAATATTTTATAATTTTAATTTATTATATTAAAGTTTAGAATCCCTGACTTGGGCTGTACACCCTTCGTAATACCGTTTATCAGTTGTATTACTTATGCTCCGGTATACACTTGGATATACCTTATACCCGGTTGAAGGGCACTGTTATAGGCTAAACGTCTAACGTAGCTCATTAGAATCAATCTATCTATCATGTCTGCATAGCAACTCAATAGAGACTTCTGAATAGGTCACACAAAATATTGAAATAGTGTCGTATATCCATCCGTGCTTGGTGGTTGTTAGGTCTAATTTTATATTTTTAGTGAAACGTCGCACATCACTTACATTGAAAGAATATATATATAAAACTTCAAGAGCTTCCGATCAGGTTTAAACTTCGTTTATCAGGTTTTAATATCCGTTTCTGCTTTTGAAATGCTATTAGGTTTCAACCTATCTTATATCAAACAACCTGACGTCTATATTTTTTTTTTCAAAGAAGTAAAAACGAGAAGCTTATAATTTCGAATGCGCTTGTTTTTGTTACAATGAACAATAATAGCATTAGAATATGTAGTTCACAGAGATACTAATGACTATAAATTTACGAAGCGGGTAAGCTGAATCTCCACTTATTCATGCCATTTTTTGATTGAAATTCATATTATTAATGTGGATACAGCAAAAATCACACTCTCTGATTTTACACTTCACTGCGTATACTTGTGCCTGTTGTAGGGCTTCAGTGCTAAAGGTTATCGACAGTTTATTATTTTAAACAAGAATACCATAACCCATTTTGACGAAATATCAGTTATGTTAGAGCGCTTTCGTTAGATCATAGTCTAATTTCTTCAGACAAAACAATAATACCTGCAAAGGTAAAAGATTAAATATTATTTATCAAGTCAAGTTACTATAATAAACATTTTTACTTTTTAACTAGCCTACGAATCGAATAAGGGTCCGCAAGTATTCGTCCTTATTGAATTAAATAAGAAATTCTGTCTAAATTTATCACATTATGGTTAATACAAAGTGAAGATATACTATTTAGGCAAATTTTACCTAATTGTAGAAATGTTGCTATTTTTGCTAATAAATAAGTCTCATTATAATATGTCATCCCGCTTTTTGATTTGATTTTTCTGAGAAATCTATTCAGACTATGTCAAGGCGCTCACTTTCAGTATGTGGAATACCATGCAATTCTAAATTCTATCTACGAACACAATGAGCAAACTTTTCGCATTTTTGGTCTTGACGATGTTGCAAAATCGCGATAGAGTATTGAATATAGTATTGATATTAGCTCTCGGATCCATCACCATTATATCTGACTCTGGCATATATTATTGAATGTCAAGTCAAATTCAACACTCATAGAAAGGAATCCCATGAGGCCAACAGAAATTTTTGAAATAAATAAAAGGAATAGCATTCTAGCCACAAAAACAAATTTAATCAAGGAAATTGGTCCAGTAGTTGAGAAGGAAACAAGAAGAAAAAGAATACCAACAACAACGGTATACTATTTGACATATTGGGTCGGGATGCGAGTTCTGCAGGTTCCCTATATTTAACGAATATACGCCATCAACTAATTTTTGAGGTTTCAATAGAAATGTCATGCATATTGGAAATCATGGTGGAATGATGGAATACAATTTATAGCAAATGAATTCGACGATCAATTGAGCGTTTACTTACTGCATTTTAAATGGTACTCCCGTAGTATGTGAACCAAGATGGCGGACACCGGAACGTAGTATGTGTACCAGCTTAGGGTAAGGCCATAATTTTATTCCAATTTTCCTCATTTTAATTATATTACGAGTTCAAGTGACTCCCGTAGTATTTGTACTTGAAATTATGGCTTAACCCTAACCTGGTAGACATTGTACGTTCCAGTGTCCGCCATCTTGGTTCACATACTACGGGAGTACCTTCTAAATATTATGTAGATTTATTTTGGAATCATTTTACAAATTTAAATCACAAAATGACATTGAGTCAACTCGTTTTAGTTACACTAAACGTTTGAATATCCCTTGATTGGTACAACATCTCTCAGTGTCGATGCTGCAGAACCGATGTGGTACAGGAGGATAGCATATTGCCGACGGACCTGAAAAACGACGGATTCTGAGCTTTCATAATATTATAGTGTAATTCTATTTTTCAAAATTTATTAAAATTGCAGAATTAAACACCATGTATATAAAAATTCAGGTGAGTTACCCTTTCCCATCTTGCATCTGGATCTGGGTCAGCGTTGATTTCAAACATCGAGTCAACAAGTCCAGGGAATGCTGCTTCTCCATACGTATTGTGGAGACTTGGAGCGTATATAACGTGACTAAATAATATACAATCACACAAATAAAAACAAAGTCATTGGTTTTCATATATAATAAACGTTGGGTTTGGTGAATGAAAATTTGACATAAAGAAAAGTTCCAATGAAAAATTACTTTTACAATAATGTATCGTTGTGCATGGAATTTCTAAAACAACACGAATGAAAGCAATATGATCAAAAAATTCTGAATATATTTTTTTGGAATAAAAGAGGAACTGTTATTACCTAAACTGATCTCTTCCTTCTATTCCTTGTTTATCGATGAATGCCTGTTCAAGTTGCATAAGTTGATCATTGATTGCTCTCACGGCTAGTGCACTGGAAATACATATATACATATGATATCAACACCAGATCTGTCAATTCATCAAGTAGTCATTACGAGTCTCTAGAATGGTTTGAGTTTGATTAAAGGATTCATTTTCTGCAATAAAGTTGCTACAATGCGTAAATTTTAAATTTCAAAACAAATTTATTTTATAAATTTCCATTTATTGAAAGCACCACAATCTGGAAGATCCCAATTGAAAGGAAGCACGACATGTGATAATTAAGGTATTGTTTTTTGGGTGCTCCCGAATTATGCGAACCAAGATGGCGGACATCGCAATGTAATATGTGTACTAGGTTAGGGTTAGGCCATAATTTTAGGTATAAATACTACGGGAGGCTCTTGGCTAGTCTTCGAACTGATAATAGGACTAAAATAAGGAAAATTGGAAAAAAATTATCGCCTAACCCTCACCAGTTACCCATGTTACGTTCCGATGTCCGCCATCTTGGTTCGCATACTTCGGGAGCCCCGTTTTTTGTTTATAAAAAGTGAGTACATACTGCAATGGTAGATTTGACCCAACATCTACGTGTTACATTATGCAAGTATGAAAAATTAGTGCACTTGCGTGCACAGTGCTTGCAAGAGCGCAGCGCACACAGACTTACTTCGTTGCCGACGCTATCCAGATTAACACAAAAGCGCAATTTATTCTGTATCACGGTTTGTTTGTTTGAAGGAGGATTGATAGTCAGCCAAAAACGTCTGGTTATCAGTGAATCGCTCACGAACAGATAAATACAGTTTTAAAAATATACATTTATCTTACTCTGTCAGATCGAGATCGAGAATTCTTTTATGAAGATTCGTTGCTGCTGCTGCAAAGTTTGAGACGGCGTCGTCGAGTAATGCTGAAATGACCAAAGTGGAGAAGACATATATATATAATTTATGAGCACGTTCGAGTTGTTTGGACACACAAAACATTATGGCGATTAGCAGAATTTCTAACATAGAACTGAACAGGAAAAATATCAAAATTTATCTATATCATAAAACTGGTAAATGTATTTACTTGGATCCATGCAATGATCAGTCAGATTTTGTTTAAAAATATTCAGCATTGCGTTTTTATCGGCATTCATTTTTGTTGCATAATCTACAGCGCTTAGAGGTAAAACTGGCGAATCCGCTAAATTTCGTGTCAATTCCGCTAGAACTCTTGCCGCTGCTTGATGATTGAGGAAATTTGGATCCACAAACTTTTTAACAAAATCGAATGTTTCATACACGGAATGGTACACTGGATAGCCGGAGATACCAATTCTCTGAAAAAAGTCAATTCATTATCAGTTTTTCTTACGTTTTTAAAAAGAAAGCAAATATACAACTTCTTTAATTTAAATAGCTATTGACATCTAAAATAAAATTGTTATTTGAAGATTTATTCACCGGATCAAATATGTAATTTGCATTCATTACTGTGGTGCCAGTGAGCTGCAAGAACATCGTGTAGTCACTACCTGATCCAAGAGTTGAAAATCTGCAAATTTACAAAATGGAGTCGCGATGAATAAGTATAAATATAACAAAAACCAATTGGAATGAATAAGTCTTGGAGACAAATAAGTAAACTGGGATGCTTACCCAGGTTCGTTCCCTCCATTTGTATAAGCCCATGTATCGTATACAGTTTTTCTTCCCATGGATATTTCATTTGGGTTTGGATTAGTCACGAGTTTTGCTGCTTCAAAAACTGCATTCTTAATACTTGGAGAACCGCCAGCATTAAAACTATATCCTCCACGAACAAGCGTATCAGCATTAATGTATGCAATTGATCGTGAACCCAAAACTTTCTGAAATTCCTGTAAAAATAAAAATTGAAAAAAAATCTGATGTTTTCATTTTTCGACACCATGTATTTTTTTTAAATTGTTTTTAGTCAAACATATTTCAATGCTGTATAACTACTTTTGAACACTAACATTAGTCAAATGATCATAAATGGGAGTTTGTTGCTTGATATTGGAACACCGAACATGCATATACTCACAGTCCTATACTTACGAATTGGCTCTTGTTTCAAATCAAAATATAATAACTATATGTTATGAAGCAAAAAATAGATTTCATTCAAAAAAATGCTTTTGCGTTATTTTGGATCAACGCGTGCCGTGAAATATTACCGATTCAAATGTAATGCGGGAGAAACATGAGGTATCTCATGGATGCGATTAAATGATGAGATGTCTCAGTAGAAGTTTTAGTTGAACATACTTCAACCCATTCAGAAGATCCGATTAATCCATATTCCTCAGCTCCCCAGCTGCAGAATACAATTGTTCGACGCGGTTTCCATCCATTCTTTGCGGCCGCACCAATTGCTCTGGAAACTTCCAGCATAGCAGCAGTTCCTGATGACGGATCCATGGCACCAAACACCCATGCATCTCGATGGTTTCCGAAGAGTACGTATCGATCTGTTACAAATGCGGGCCCAAATATTTTCAAATCAAAAATTAAATACACATTTCAATTGACTTGAAACTGTGAACTGAACATGTGGTGTTTAAAAAGTACTAACCCACAAAAGTTTTTCTGTTCATCGAACTTAAAATTGGTATATATATTTGAGTTAGGAGCCTTCGAGAATATCAAAAGCATCCCCGAGTAGTGTTTATTTTGCAACATCCAAAAAAACAATAGTAATACAAATTAGTTTGGTGCTCTACACTGCACAAAAAATTTGAAATCTCATTTGGTAATTTTCATGTCAAATTCCAACGAATCAACACCATGTCGTATGACAGAGGTAGTACTGTGGCACCATGTTCAATTAATATCAGAGCAATGAGCTTCTCTGACATATCTTTGACTTTTCAAACATTATAAAATGAAAAAACTTATTGAATGTTTCGGATTTGTCACTTGAAAAATTCAAGTGTATAATAGAACAATTGCTCTATTCTGTTCGGCAAATCCTTTACACATACCAGGTTCAACAGTTCCTCGAATATAACCGATAACATTATGAGCTGTTTTTCTTTCATTTGTGGTTGTGACATGCATTGACATCTTACTAGAATGTAACTTAAATTTAAAATTTTTAAAAACAAAATTATATGGAGAGTTTTCAATTCATAATAAAATTGGTTGCGGAAATATTAAAAATCATGGATAAACAATAAAAAGGAATAATTAAGTTTGCCGATAATCGGTATTTACGATAAAGTATTATATAATGAATAGCATGCTCGTTGAAAAAACTATTTGAGTGCAATTTCATCAAAATGTTAGTCTACTGCAGGGGTGGGCAACTTCTTTAGTCGGCGGGCCAGTTGTGGGGAAATGAAGTCCTCGGCGGGCCGGATTATTACAAAAAATACTTCGGTATCCAATCTTTGTTAAATGCTCGACACTCTCTGTCAACTTTACGTTTCTTGGGATATTTTATGGTTAATAAAACCTAATATTAATATAAAATGTAATTTCTAAAATCTCTTTATATTTAGAATTCAAATATAAATATAAATGATAACAGTAGTGGGGAATGTTTACAACGCTCTATGCTTTGACCTTATATTGTTTGTTTAACTAGTGTGCTAACGCAATTGTTCATTTCACCAACTCGCACTGACAATGTGGTGAGAGTAGAGCGATCGGCAACTTTCAGGAATAATGCGTCGGACCACATTGCAGAGTGTGGTTGGATACAGTCAGCGGGCCGGTCAAAATCTCGTCGCGGGCCGGACTCGGCCTGCGGGTCGTATGTTGCCCATCCCTGGTCTACTGTCATTGATTATTCAATCGTAAACGTACCTTGTGTTATGCTTTCCTTGGAACCCAGGTCCGTATTTATATGTTATATTCAAACCTCCTCTCCAACTTGCTTCCACTTCTTCGCCTCCCATATGCATCAGGTACATTATTGCGTCATCATATCCAACAGGTGTCACGGGGATTTTCGGAAGATTCGCATCTGTTTCGTTTATTCTCCACGCAGTCTCTTCAAAAAATCGATATATATTGTGTCATTATTATTATTTGAAGAAGCATATGTCCAAATTATATCATAGTACTGGTTAAATAATTGACAACTTTATACTATTTAGTATTTACATGAAATCAAATACCAAGTTTTTATGTAAAAAGGGTCCATATAAGTCCAGACTAACAACGCCCGTTGCAATATGCAAACAAAAGAGTTGCGCGACGTCGAAGTGGGAGATATTGAAAACCTGATTATTCTATTTCTATTGTGTGAGTTTGACAGATCTGCCTAGAGTAAATATGAATGAATAGAAACCCATTTGCCATTCGTATACAATCCTAGCATACAGTGATAATAAAAAAAATTCTCCGATTTACAACCAGATTCTGACGCCTATAACTTGCCAGTAATAAAACGAATTTATAAATCGAGTTAATTTTACCAATAGATGGATAATGCATAGTGAGAGGATCTCCTTCATCTTTGAATAATGTCCCACGTTGTGCCCCAGTTCCTGGCAAAAACCAAGTATCCGGATAGACTCCTTGTCCCGCCACTGCATAATCCGCCGGATCGGAATATAATATTAATCCTGCACAATTGTATTGTCCGGCGTGTAATGCTGGCAATTAAATAAATTTATACATTCGTATATTTGTAATGAAATTTGGGTTCATCATGATATTAGAAAATATTAGAGATTGTTTATTGTATTGTTTATGATAACTTCATCATTTATTTAGATATAAAGTCAGAGTATGATGTTATAAAAAGTTGCAATGTTTCGAGTAGGGAATTGTTTTGACATCCTAGAAACAACATTCCGAGATAAATAAAATTGAAAAAAAAAATCGAAAAAATTTTAAATGTGCAACAAATGTGACTTTATGTGTGAAATTACCTTTATCTCCTCTGAATATTTTTCCATAACGAGCTATGCAGATTTTTCCAGTAAGATCGATAGACTTAGTTCTGTTGATGAAGATGAAGTCCTGGATTGTACCATAATTTACGTACACAATGTCCCCCTGCAATATTGCAGAAATGTGGCAATTAAAAAATAGTAATATACAAATTGAAGGATTTGTGGATTTTTTTCTCATTTTTAATTACTGTCAATTCTTTGAATGGTGATAAAATTAAAATCAGATCGAGTGAAAAATACTGTTGAATAAGAAAAAAAGGTTTTTCAACAGATAATTAATTTCAAATATCATTAAAATCTTTGTTCTGATGCAACTACCTACTGTCAAATATTTAGAATAGTCAGCTAGACCAAAATGCACACTCTGGGCTATTTCACAGATGTAACTTTACCTATTTATGTATATTTCATGGTAGTATATTTGATATACAAGATAATTACGGCTAAAGAAAATTAAGAATTTGATACCTCTGGATCACCTTTTGCGGCATAAGCATTGAACGGATTGACCACACCTGGTTTATCTTGTGAGGGATCCAATATAGCTTCGGTTGGGTGACTTTTACTAACAAGAGTTCCTGAAAAGAAAAATTTTCTCAGAACCATTATTTATTAATTAGAAATGGAATTCAGTTTTATATGACTTGATTCAATTATTTGTGTTACCTCACATGCTTAAGTGCACAAAAAAATTGACCGGTATTCTGTGCGTTTTAGATCATCTGGTAAACAAAACTTGATACGGGAATGTACCAAAGTACAATAAATTACTGGACATGTTCAGAATTGCATTCCGCCACTTGAATTACTCACCATTAGTTAATCTTATTGCAAGGGAATTTGAATCTTCTTGATTTGGATAAGACAGCAATACGTTATATGGATGGATTTCAACAGTTAGGCCAGAATCTCGCCAACTGTTTGCTACAAATTCTACGAGCTCGACCTCATCGACATCTCTTCCGGCTATATGTGGTTTTGCAGTCAATTTCCTGCAATAAATACGCAAATTAAAACATTTTTGCATTTTCTCCGAACCAAGATTTAAAATAATGTGATAAACGCCGTCAGAGTAAGAGTTGTCTTTAATTAACTTGAGAAAAAAATAATTGTATCTTTCAATTTCAAATATGCAAAATGGATATCTCTTTATCGAATGTGTCCATGAGATAATGCCATGTATCTTACATCCATTGTTACCACAGCATTGCCAGAAATTGATAGAAATTAGTTTTAGAACGATAAAAGTTCATATATTAATTACAAGAAGTTACTGACATTAAATTTTGCTCAATATTCTCCGCCTTTATTTCATCCATTATCATTTTACTCGCCCTTGTATCAGCTTCCGGTGTTTGTGGACTCGAACCACCACCCCTACCAAAATAACCGATGATCACTCCGATGCCCAGACTAATTGCAACTGCGACCACAGAAAGAATTATAATTCTTTGGCTACGTTGAGTCGCCATAGTTTTAGGCCTATTAAAAACTAAGTCTGCAATGCCCCCCAAAAAAGAATTTTTAATGTTATTAATAAAAATTACGATAATTCCTCAATTTGCTCAATACGATCGCCATTACCGATAAACTTCCTACAACTGTGACTACACTTGACCGAATGGTTGAACTATACACGTATGAGTTTTTAGGGCGGACAAATATATTTTCTTTCATGCACGACTCTATACCAGTAAGCAAATTACAGTATAATACATGAATTCTGTCAATCAAACACTCAAAGCTGACCCCGTTCACACAATCTAATTGTCTGACCATCCACACAAAACTTGTTAAATGCCTCTAAGACGAGGTACAAAACGACAAACACTCGACAATTTAGACAAGCCAAATTCGTGATTCAATTCACGTTACGTTTGAGTATAAATAACAACATGAGCTCTATATGTCATATTACGAAATCTTTAGGATTTACAATTGGGGTACTCGAGTTTAAGATGACGATTTGATTTGATTTTCACTTACGTCATTGCTAAAACCATTCTAATATTGAGGCAAGTTGACAACAAAAACATATTTTTCAAAACAAGCCAACCAATATCTTTTAAATCGGCAAAAATTTATTGATTGTTTTAATAGAAAATCAGTGAACTATTTGCGCTCGCTTGTTGTTTCATCCAACATCTAAAACTAGATAAATTATAATCTATTAATTATTCCCTGACATGAAGTGATAAGAGAACGACTATACTACCCGAATAATAGTCGTTCTCAAATGTTTAACAAGGCAACTTTTAGTGTCAGACAATTTGTTTGTTTACAGTTCACTATAATTTGACGAAGAAGTGAACTTCTAGTCTTAGAGTTTTGTTGAAGTGTTATTGGCACTCGAAATAAATATTACTGAATAGGGCTACTGAGTTTCGCAAAAATTTTGTGCGACTGTGATATATTTTTACATACGACTCTTTTTCTAGTCTTTTGCTCTAATTCTTCAAAAATGCCATTGCATAGTAAATTCAGATGAATAACACATTAAAAGTTTCCGGTAGGCTGCATATTGATGAAGCACTTGATCATGGTAATAATTGCTTTTACTCAGAGAAGACTATTCAGAACTGTATTAAAAATCAGTGCCTAAAATAAAATATATCATAATGCGCACATCAAATGGAATATTTTTAATAAAGATCCGTCGATCGTCGGCAAATAATATTGTTTGCTTTATTCTACAGCAGTTTGGGCTCCTCTATTGAACAAATTTATTTGTTATTTGCTCTAAAACTTTTAAAAGAAAAATTCTTTTGTCAATGGGAATATGTCAACTGTTGAACTAATGTTCCCTTAGATAATTCAAACAAAAACGTTAGTTATAAATGAACTCAGTCAAGCTACAAGCTTGTTTTTCAAAACGTTATTGAAAATAATTGTTTTGAGAGCAATACGGAAACGACTTTTATTTTCAAAACGCCACCTTATTCGCAGGATCAGTAAAAAAACTGTAGCTTAGGTAAATTGTGTAAAACTGACTATTATCTACTTCTTTTATCATCTTATTTCAAATCTCATCCAATCAAAAACTAATTTAATAATAAATCGTTTGAGGTAAAACTGTGGCAACTTTAATTATAAAAAATGCCAAAAAAAAATTTGGAAATGCGAAAGCTCAGGCTGCTGCTTACATGACAAATATTAGCGACCCCGATCAGATTCGAAGAATTGTTGATGGTTAGTTGATCTACAACAAACATCACTTTTGCAAAATCGTTGTCATTCAGAAAATTAGGGGGAATTTATACTATTATAAAAAATTTTGTTTGCTTACATCTCTTTCATTATGGACTCATGTACTTTAAAATGAAAACGGCAAAAAAGTCAGTATTAGCGAGTGGGTGATATGTCAATTCCACATAGTGTGATAACCGTCGGTGAGTGACCAAAAAGATGTTTGGGCGTGCTATTATTTGGAATTCCCGTATTATTACCGTATGTACTTACTTATGATATATACCAGGGTGGTCCAAACCCATGCCCGCGGGCCACATGTGGCCCGTAGCGTCATTATCTGTGGCCCGCGTCGCCTTAGCTGAAAGGTAATAAAAAAATAACATATGGTGTTGTTTCGTCATGAAAATAACAGAAAATATTTTCGACATCACTAGGGCTGGGAGTGGTTAACCGGTTAACCGATTTCAGATGGTTAACGGTTACGATTTATCCTAACCGTTAACTGACATCTCAGTTACAAATCATCTTCATACCGTACAATTTCTTCAAATATGGTTACGTCGTCGCAAAATTATCTTTTGTGGTTTTTAATTCAAAAGAATATTACTAACAGTGTGGGTAAGGACTCAATAAATGTGGAAAATAGGGAAAGTACCAAGATTGCTGATTATGGAAATTTGACAATGATGAATTCAGAATCAGTTTTCGGTCGATTTACGATTTCATTGCAAAATCGGATATTCAATGTCATACAACAAGTGCGCAGTTGATGCCATTTTCCTTTATATGATATATATCTCGAAGTAAAATTTGCACATCGAACACTGATAATTTGTCACATAAATGACGTTTAACAACGGAATCAGGTTATCTAAAATACTTCCACACGCCCGAACCACGCTGCCTATCTCTTGCAGCAAAGAAATCATGAAACTATCTCGATTCGTGAATAATTTTGTTGAGCGATACCGGGATAAGAACACGCAAAATTGCTTTAAGCATTGTGACGTAACAAGCTGAAATTATAAATTATTACGTCAAACGTCACGCGGCGGTTAACCGTTTAACCGGTTAATTTTACCGGGTTAACGATTAAAGTGTTTTCCCTGAAATTCCCAGCCCTAGACATCACTAATGTCACTGAATTGACTACGGCTAGCTGAAGCAACTAGCGAAGTTGAATCGAGTGTGATTGGGTAGTACAAATTGTTCACTGTCCTTCTATCTATTTGGTTGCGAATATATCCCAACAGCCATAAATAACTAAATATGATGACTAAATATTAATACTATAATCTGAGAATATAATTCGTTGCGGTGATGTTTTGCAGCCAGCCTAAACAGTATTACAAAAAATGCTTCTAATATTTCAGAAAAATTAGTAATTACTCTTCTGTACCTTACATTTGGTAAAATATGATAATCAATCATTCAGCAGTTATGGCAAATATAATCTAAAACGGCATTTTGCTATCATGTGAGCAATGAGCATTTCCGAAATTCGAAGGATTTTGCTTTGAGAACCGATGTTCGAGAGCACTTACATTTGCGGGAGCACTTTCTCCGTAACGAAGAGTTAATGAAATATTACATTAAATGTAGATATAGCAAAACTTTTGCATGTTTCAGTGATTTTTCTGGCGTATTATGTAGGATTTAGCTTGATAAAGGACAAACAATGATCAATCGTTTGTACAATAAAAGTGTTTGTTGTTTACATATTTCTGACGCTATTGTGGCCCGCGAACAATACAAAAATAATTTTATGGCCCGCGAAGGCGACAACCTTGGACCACCCTGATATATACCATCATTACAGGCCACATATATTTTGACTCGCTTAAATCTCATAATTTTGACATGTCATCGGTGTATTTTATATTGTCATAAACGTCTTATGTAGCTGCTTAAAAATCTGGGTCTATACAGAAACTAAACAGAGTCTTTAAAATGGGCTACAAAAATTGTTGATGAATTGATTCAATTCTGCTTGATTCTTGTCGAATACAATTTTAAAGTTCCCAAACCAAAAAACATCAGGCTATATAGTCGGCGACAAAAACAAACAACGGCTGTGAATGTGAAAGCTGAGGCAATGACCCCACATTGTTCCATCGAATTTATCGACCATCGTACAAGGAGGAAGCTAAACTTATTGAATCATAATTTAACTTGTTTATTGACATTTGTAATATGTATGTCTAATTAATTAATATTATTAGTTAAATCAATTCCAATTGATTTTGTGAATTAAACATAATGAAGATTGTAGAAAAAGAAATAAATAATATTTCAATGGTTAATTTAAAAATATGGTACAATGATGGTTCTATTTGTTTGAATATCCTTTGATTGGTACAACATCTCTCAATGTCGATGATGCAGAACCGATGTGGTACAGAAGAATGGAATATTGTCGACGGACCTGAATAAATAAATAATAAAAGATAAATAACAAAAATTCAATTTTTAATTGCCAATAAGATCCCCTCAAGTCTCAAACGTATATATATATTACTCCCTTGTACCGCAAGTATATTGTTGTTTAAGAATTGTAAATCAAAATATATCTGTTTTTTTCTAACTTCTATATTGTAATTTCTAATATTCATGAATCGAGCAAATTTACCTTTTCCCATCTCGCATCTGGATCTGGGTCAGCATTGATTTCAAACATCGAGTCAACAAGTCCAGGAAATGCTGCTCCTCCATACGTATTGTGGAGACTCGGAGCGTATATTACGTGACTGAACAGATGTGCATAAGTTGAACATTCAGGCATGGTTTTCTGCGTAGTATTTGTAATACTCATTGGCCAATATCATCAACACAATTTTTTCTTGCATCACGTGGAATTTTATTTCCCATTTTTGAAAATGGCAGCTTTCAGTTCAACAATGGTTGTTGGTCGGTGCGTGTACACCTCACCCTAAAGATGGCCCCACAGAAAATAATCTCAAGATGAAAGATCGGGCTAACGTTCTGGCCGTCCCGTAACACCACGCAACGAAACCAAATGCGATGGAAAGAGTCATCGCAAAACATTCACTGATTTTTTATTTCATGTGTGCAGTTGCTTCATTCCGTTGCAAAGATGCATTTTTTCAAGATTTCTGAATTTTGACGTTAAAACGTTTTGCAGCATATTGCTGATAACGAGTTAAGGTAACCGAAACGACATGAAAAAAAAATTAAGGACCTAAAACTCGCAACTGCACACCGCAATGTTGCATTTTTCATCAAGCCATAGAATAACCAGGGAATTAATCCAACAAATGAGGTGCAAAATTGCTGTTTGGCAAGTGCATGTAAACCAGAAAGGCAAACTCAGCGCCTCTTTAACAGAGAACAGCGCCTCTTTAACAGAGAATTTGGAATTAATTTGGCTTTAAATGTTTTTCTCTGAGCATCCGCTCCTTGGTCCTTCTGATTTTTTTGCATCAACTACAGATCCAGTTTCCATAGATGTACGATGAATTGCATAAATTATTAGTTGTGTAGGAGGCGAATTAATTTCGAAGTATCTGTTAAAAATGCGCTGAGTTTGCCTTACTGGTTATGCACCTCATTTCTTGGATTAATCTCCTTGTCATTCTGTGAATTAATGAAAACTGCAAACAATACTTAAATTTTATTACTTATCTATACTATGTTTTCTGAAAAAATGAACGATCTATGATGAGTACCTGAAAAGCAAATCAAAATTAAAAGTGTAAACTTACTTTTGAGGCACCCTGTACAGTCAACAAACACAAGAAACTGTCTCAAAGTGCATGGGTAAAAGCTGAGGTTAACGAGGTGGAAAGGGGATCATTCTTATCAAAACATTACCGAATTTGATATTCAAACTGGCAACATATTTATATATATCGCATTATTCACAGAAACTTACTTTAGAAAAAAAGAAACAAAAATAAATGGTCAAAAACGCACCCAAGTAGCCGATGTTATGTACATACCTATATTGATCTCTTCCTTCTATTCCTTGTTTATCAATGAACGCTTGTTCGAGTTGCATGAGTTGGTCATTTACTGCTCTCAGCGCTAATGGACTGTAAAATTTCTGATTTTCATTATTAATGAAAAGATTGTAGCATTAATAGAAAATGTTGCGAATAATAAACTAGATTAGGCAACTTAATGCTAACAAGCAAAGCCGGAATTCTCCGCAATGTAAAGCAATTTTTAATCTGGAATTTATAAAAACTGTTTCACAGGAGAAAAATATATCAAACCGCCATGCAAAAACAAAAATATTCTCAGAGTTCTTTTTGTGCAAACAATTGTTAGTTTTTATGCTACCACATGTGTACGAAAAAAATTACATCATTTACTGCTAATGACATGAAAAAGAAACGTCATACTTTGTCAGATCAAGGTCATTTATTCTATTGTGAAGTTCCGTTGCCGCTGAGGTAAAATCTTCTATTGCCTTGTCTAGTAATGCTGGAATGAACAAAACGTTGTCGATATTTTATATGAATAAATGCTTTTTTTGTGTCACAAAAGTCAGTGACCATTGGAGAATAATCTCATAAAGGAAAATAACAGAGAAATTTAATTTTCATCGTTATCAAAAAATACACTTACCAGGTTCCATGTTATGATCAGTCAGATTTTGCCTATAAACATCCAACATTGTATTTTTATCATCATTCATCTTTGTTGCATAATCCACGACGTTGAAAGGCAAAACAGGCGAATCAGCTAAATTTCTCAGTAATTCAGCCAGGACTCTTGCCGCTGCTTGGTGATTACGAAATTGTGGATCGACAAAAGTTTTGACAAAATCAAACGTTTCATAAACGGAATGATACACTGGGTACAACGAAACTCCGATTCTCTAAATTAAATATTATTAATTTGAATACTTTCCCAAATAAATAATTATTAATAGTTTACTCAGACATTTTCAATTCAACAATGTTAAAAAAAATAACTGTCTTCATGATAATATACGAATAATATATTCTGCAAATCATATACAATCTCATTCTCTAAATTATTCACTAAATTACTTACCGGATCAAATACATAATGACCATCCACTACAGCAATACCAGTTAGTTGCAAAAACATTGCGTAATCACTACCTGACCCAAGAGTTTGAAACCTGAAAATATATTTGCATAAAGAAAAAAAGAAACAGAAAAGGAAGAATAAAAAAGGATAAGAAATATGAACAATTGGAGAAGAGACAGAAGAAACAAAACTATGGTTACCTCGGTTCACTTCCACCACTTGCATGAGACCATGTAGCATAGATGGTTTCTCTACCGTTTGAGATTTCAGTTGGATTTAAATTTGGCACGAGCTTTGTTGCTTCAAACACAGCTTTTTTGAGACTAGGCGAACCCCGAGCATTAAAAGTGTAGTCGCCATATACAAGTGGATCCGCGTTCAAGTATGCTACAGATCGTGATCCCAAAACTTTCTGAAACTCCTTTAGTATGAGAAATATTACAATGTACTTTTAGAACTCGAACATTTCGACAGAATAAACTCTCAACAAAATGCTTATAATAAGTGAAAAACTATATATCATTAACGAGAATTATGTTAACGTATTCAGTTGGTTATTTCTATATATATTGTTTCCTATTGTTTAATCTGCTGTGCCATTGGTATACGCAACACATAGAAATATTGGAAAATTACAAAAGGTCATGGAACGAAGAGCCACTCAAATTTGTGATCATAGTATTAATTTTATCAGATAGTATTTTTTAGTTATATAGTTTTCTAGTACTGATTAATCAGCATTTTATCATTCAAAGTCGTCAAAAATGATTAGGTTAATGGAAATGAATAAAAATACTTCAATCCATTCTGTCGATCCGATCAATCCAAATTCTTCTGCTCCCCAGCTACAAAATACAATCGTTCTACGAGGTTTCCACCCATCCTTAACAGCCTGACCCATTGTTCTAGAAATTTCCAACATTCCAGCGGTACCAGAGGATGGGTCCATTGAACCGAATACCCAAGCATCTCGATGGTTTCCAAAGAGTACGTAACGATCTGTTATACAATAATATAATCGAAAAAATATGAAACAAAATACCAACCTTACTTCATTTTATGCAATTTAAGAGTTCTGCTGCACACTAACACAAATGCATTTCAGTAACGTTTCGTCTGACCAAAATCAGACTTCCTCAGACAGGCAGTTTATAACAATTTATTTCCAGGGGAAAATTTAACATGATAAGTAAATTAGAGTTTGGAAGGTATTTTCAATCAAAAATAACATGTTAACTTTTAGTAAAGTTAGTTTTAATTATCACCGAGTTATCATCAATATAAAAAACAATATCATCATACGAATGTTTGTTACTTTCACAAAAATGTGATAGCAAAAGTGTATAGAAAAAAGTGTTCAGAATAATTAATTAAGCCTTTATACCTGGTTCTATATATCCCCGAATATAACCGATCACGTTGTGAACTGTTTTTCTTTCATTTGTCGTTGTAACATGCATTGTCATCTTACTGATTTGTGATATACAAAATGTATTTTTATGATGATTCACTTGTGAATATTTGATAATAATAAATAAATATAGAATATATGTTGATACTGAGTTACACCGACAAAAACAATGATCTCAAGCTCAATGTTAACTTGATGAAACAGGGCAATAATCGTTCTACAAGGTATAAGAATCGTCTAAAATTTGATAAGTGCTAATACGATACGTCGAAATATCTTCACATCTGTTCATATGTTAGCAATATTTTCAAAAACACTAGTTTAAATGTACAAGTTGGGTTATATGGGAAGTTTCTACCTACAAATGTGTGCTCATCCTACTCAATTTCAGAACAATTCCAAATTAAACATATATACATAAAAGCTAAAGTATTTCAATCATAACTAAGTTTTTGATTCTTCTGGAATTTACCTTGTGTTGTGTAGTCCTTGAAACCCGGGACCATATCTATATGTTATATTCATATCTCCTTTCCAACTTTCTTCTACTTCGTCGCCTCCCATGTGCATCAAGTACATTATCGCGTCGTCGTATCCAATCGGTGTTACGGGAATTTTGGGCAGCTTTGTTTCTGTCTCGGACACGCGGGATGCTGTATCTGGTGTAAGAAATTACACATTTAAGTATGCTTTCTCGTATAAAGAAAAGTATGTGGCTGCGATTTTGCTTTGAGAGTAAAAATTAAACCATGGTTTATAAAAAACGCCCCGCTGTCATTTTAAAACAAAAATTATTTTTATGGCAAAGTACTCTCAACTCATTAAAGATTCACACAACAAAATAATTAATGTCATAATTTATATTTTAATATTACTAATTTAATAATTCTATATTCACCGATAGAAGGATAGTGGGGGGTCATTGGGTCCCCAACGCCCAAAGCCAGAGTTCCACGTTGTGCACCAGTTCCTGGTAAAAACCAAGTATCCGGATAGACTCCCTGACCTACTACTGCATAATCCGCCGGGTCCGAATACAATATTAGTCCAGCGCAATTAAATTGCTCGGCATGTGAGGCTGAAAAATACAGAATATTCAACTTTACAATCGTGTAATAAATAAATAAATAGTTCTTGGAAATCATTAAGCTTAACTGGAGATAATTGCAAAATGAAATTATTGATAGATTTTATATAATTTTTATGCTTTTTTCAATTAAATTGTATGAAATATTTCAACACCTTTATCTCCTCGGAATATTTTTCCATAACGGCTAATACATATTTTTCCAGTAAGATCGATAGATTTAGTGTTGTTGATGAATAGGAAATCCTGAATCGTTCCATAATTGACATAAACAATGTCCCCCTGAATATACGAAAACAGTAATTAGTGAATGGGAAGCAAAAATTATCAATTGCTTCATGCATGGTTGTGGTAACATTGTTAAAAACATAACTGCATTCAACCACAATGAGGTCAGGCAAGGTTTCTATGGCTTTTCCATAGTATAGATTCAACGAATCTTAAATTGAATCTCACACTCGGCGCTCCACCTACGATAATACGATAAAATAGTCCAACTATGATAAATCGGACAGATTCAAGGCCACAAAGCGGTCGGAGGGGGGCCACAATGCCAGCCGCAGAACTGACTTTACATTTCCATTTACAAGAAAACTCCCCGTTCTTCCTAGTTTCATTTCTTGATAAGGATATATCACAGGGTGTTTTCATTTGTTGAGTATGAATTGCTTCAACATAACGGGATTTGAAATCTACCGTTCATAATAACACTCTAAATACCACTGGAAAAGTAAACAGGAGGGAGGGGGTCATGAGTGCTAAAGGAGGGAGCCACGAGCCATAAAAGGTTGGGAACCACTGCCTTATGCATTTCTTTTCAGAAGCATTTACTTCTACAAATTCCAACGTTGCATTTGTTTTATTTTTTATTCTTCTTTATTTTTTCCCTACTCGCATTAAACTTGAGCTCAAAACTGTATAATTATTTTTATACATGTAATTCGCCACAGTAAGGTCACGCACACAACTAACTCAGAAATATAAGAGATTCCCAACTGGGTAACAGGCGATCGCTAAAATGCCAAAAGTTACTGCGACCATACGAAATCAGTGCATTGACTCACGTGCAATTTACGTCCATGTAAACAAGAACTAGAAAATGTGAAGCCATGTGGAAAAGGACTATAAACATGTTGATCACGACCGGTAAACGCTATAGTAATTTTAAAGATCTTATCCATAGCGCTTATATTTTTCCCATGTCTGAAAACGCAAGACTTATAAAATAGAATATTTAACGTTGTCCGGTTAGAATGATATTGCTCCGACCAGAACCTTGATTATTAACAGGAGACTCATCCAAACTGTAGCGAAGTTCATGTTTTTCAAAATATTCAGCCTTAAAATGGTCTAACTATAATTGATTTGAATTGGTGGTATATGCTATATTAATGGTATGCAGGCAAACCACGTCATGCGAAAAGGAATTAAGTTCAAAACTTATTTTTAGGTGTTCTCAACAAAGTAGTCCTATATATACAATTAAAAACAATATACATGACATTTAGGAATAAAATTACGTTTGCTAGCATAAAAAGTTAACAATAAAAATGTACTTCTGGATTTCCATTTGCAGAATAGGCGTTAAAAGGATTAACCACGCCTGGTTTATTTTGTGATGGATCCAATATAGCTTCGGTTGGATGACTTTTGCTTACGAGAGTACCTGGAAAAGGTTCAAAAATCCAAATTTACAATGAATGAATATACCTGAAAATTATACTTTCAAGAACTAATTTCAATATGTTGATATGTTACCAAAAAAACACGAAAATGCAGCATATAGCAGCACACTGTCTATATTTTTACAACAAAATAGGTGAAATATACCGACTTTTTTAATAATTCAGGCATTTTCAGCTGTATATACTAATACTGAAATTCGTTACCATTTTCCAATTTGATGGCGAGTGAATTCGAACTATTTTGATTTGGATAGGACAGTAGTACGTTATAAGGATGAACTTCAACAGTCAATCCAGAATCTTTCCATCTTTTTGTGATGAAATTAACAAGATCAACTTCATCAATATCTCTTCCAGCAATATGTGGATTTTCAGTCAATGTCCTAAAAAAATGAATAAAGTTAGTGTAATATATTTATATTCGTGGTTAACCATAAGGGACTTCTGAGCCTTCTCTGAAAACTTATAAATAAGTCGCTGATAATCATAATTTTAAATTTTATTTTAATAATTATTGCCGCGTTGTGCATATACCTGTAGGGTTTTAATAGTGAAGCATTTGGCTATTCGGTTTTTAGCAGTCAACTTGACAGAGATCGTGAGGATACCTAAAACGAATTTCAGCTTCACATACGAAAAATAGGAAATCGAGAACAACCCTTGATTAAGCTATCTACCCCAGTTGAGCGCGCAGAGCTGTGCGTTGTTGTTTTATAAATAAACAAATTTGGAAAAACAAACGGTTTGTGAGGCAGAATTCCTGTCAACTTCATTTATGAGGTTGCTCATTCTATCATCGTATCAACCAGAGATATAGAACTTGTGCATGTTGACCGTGCCACCTATCTCTACCTAATACGCCGCTCATTCAGCTATATATATTTATAGCAATTTCAAACTTAATCGTCACTGATTCTACTATAATGGTTGTGACAAACAAGTTATTTGTGTACACAAATTTTATTTTCATTATTACAAAATTATGAATAAAATTAAAATCTGGATATCGTAGACATTGCGACAGACAATTTAAAGACGCTGCTGGAAACCGACTAGCAAACTACCAAGCACGGCCCAAAAAATATGAGTTTCGTTTTTAATTTTTGGCGAAAAGGTTAAATATTGGCGCTTAATTAGTATTATAATTTTAAGGTATATGACTCGCCCATAGAGTGCACTTTCACTTTATAGGAACATATGCCTTTCTGATATAAAACAAAATCATAAAACTAACTTCAGATTTTGTTCAATATTCTCAGCTCTAATTCCATCCATTATCATTTTACTCGCTTCTGGATCGGCCACTGGTGTTTGCGGACTTGAACCACCCCTTCCGAAGTAACCAATAATCACTCCAAGAGCAAAACAAATTAGAGCCGCAATCACGGATAAAATGATAATTCTTTTGCTCTGTTGAGATGTCATATTTCGCCTTTTAGGATATCTAAATCTTTGCAAAGAGTATAGAAGAGGAAAAAACCTTGACGATCTATCTACGGAACTATTTTTATTTAAGACTGTAAGTTTGCTAAGCGTTAAAAAAAACTGTAGAACATTTACGTATATTAGTTTATACTATCAAGTCGTGTCATAGTTCACAAAACACAATCTCACATGTTAAAATGAGTCGAATATATTACAGAAGAATGTATGTGGGCTACTCTATTTATGCCTGATTGCACATTTGTGCTGTAAACCTTTCTTTATTTTAAGGGCAAGAGTTAGAAGATGCAAAATCCGATATTTCGCTAAGTCTTCCCGGATATATCTTTCCAATTTGAAAATACTCAAAATATTCTTAAAATAACACAAATATTTTAATTTGCAAAATATGTTGCAGATTTGTTTTATTTTTCTATAAGCTATACTCTGTTCGCTTATAGAGAACAGTTTATAAGCTGCTCTTAATTGAAATTTGAGAAATGACGCTTTTTCAGCATTCTACATCTCAACTTGTCCGTTTAATCCAGCTTAAGAACCCCCAACTGCTGACATGCATCGAAAAACCTAAATAATTGACAAAATAATAAACTCATTATTCACTGTGGAATGTGTGTTAGTGTTAGTATCTAATACGACGCCCAAACCTAACAACAACTTCATACACGAGAAAAACTAAAACCTGGAGTGTAACCACCGAGAAAAAGTTGTAAAAATATTTTTTTTTACGCATGGCGTACTAAATAGTAAACGTGGTTGGCTAGACGAGAAGTATACTGTCTCCTGATCTATGGGTTTGTTTGTATGGTTTGATAACTTATGGTTGCAAAATACGAATTACGTCATCCCCGCTTTGAATCATTTTGCCTAAAATCTTCATATTTATTATTTTAATCGTTGTTCGGTGGTTTATCACTAGATGGTCAAATTTAGCCATGAACGATGTTTTTCATTCACTTACTGTTCACTTTTACTATAACCTTAATATAGGATAAAAATTTATAATACCTGATTTTTGTTTTTTCCGTGCAAGATTCGATTGTGCACATACTTGAACTTTTGTATTAATATATTCCAGAAATGCATAAAGTATTTATAAAAAGTTTTATTGCATTAATCAAGCTAATCAAACATGAAACAAAAATCTATATTATATCAGCATTAAAGCAATATTTTTCAAACCGTTCTCTACGTACAAATATGCTAACCATATATATATATATGAAACAAAAAACCAGGACAGTGCGGATTAGATCAAGCTTGGTTCGATTCCGATGCTTAATAATATTCTTATTATGTAAATATTAGTGATATTTGAATCATGGGAAAACGTGTACTTTGTTTTTGGCATTTTGAATAATTTAACTGCAGTACAGCCAATTTGAAATGTTAAATTTACGTATTTTAAATTTATAATAAATATGACATAACAATATAGTAGTTCTCTCTCCCACGCTGAACTATAGTGAAGCCGCAAATCAGTGATAAATGGGATGCCTCCAAAACTGTTTTGTCCTGATACTACATAGAGAAAAAAATCATTACTAACACACTGCATGACGGAGATACCAGTGACATTTGCTCTTGTGTCTTTTGATTGAAACAGCGACTGCTTGGTTTCACCAGGTCGCCTTGACGTACCTATTGCTCTTTCATTTTACCTTTTACTTTAACATATTTTTGTTCGATTTTATTGTATTTATCACGTTTTGTTAGACTTTCTCATCGGTGTCGCCGCTCGATAACCAGCTTTGATTTTCGGCGTCTCCCTTCACCCTGAAATGCGATTTTTTTATATATTCTTTCAAATTGTGTATGTAGAATTCGTATTTTTCAGCATGGTGAAAAAATAAATTACCGATTACTGTGTTGGTTTTACATATAAAACTTATTCTCGTACACCATCTGGCGGAACGTGATGATACTTTCAAATTAGAGAGTGCATAGTAGATTATGTCACAAAAGCTTATGAAGACAACGTCCAAAGTATCCAAGTACGAGGTAACTCAGCTGAAACAAGACATAAAAAATACATTTCAAAAAATACAGTTGGTTTGTGAAACTATACGACAATTTTAAAGAGTTTACTTAATTAAAAAGTACAAGTTGGAGTTTTTTGTCTTCTGAAAATCTCAAATCGATTTCTGAACTATATTTATGCGTTCAGGAATATGAAAAACATCTTGCGTATTTCAAATTTGTACTTCCCATGAAAATATTGTAATACAGATGAGCTCTGATACAGATTGATTCACCCGACATTAAATCTGCCATGTAATTTATATTTTTGCAAATGAATGATTGAATGAAAACTAAGACTCTAAAAGTTTAAATGATTCAAAAACTTCAAATTGACTCGAGACAGAACTTGCGGGCCTGCGAGTATTGACAAATTGTGGAAACTCAGTATCCAAATCAGATCAAATGGCGTATGCCATGGGCTTTCTACTTTTTTCATTGATCTGTACAAGTAATCCAACAATACAGGCCCACCATAAGTGTATCAAATGTGCGTGGAATTTTGCACAAGACTTACGAATATGACAGGATTTATATCAGCCAATCTTGATATTGTCAGACAATGGAGGGTTAAATAGCACACCCAACATTTCCAAGTTAGGTTCATGTATTATTTGCTATTTACATAATACTTCTAATATCTGTAAACCAATTTGAAACAGTAATTTACCGAGGAATAATTTTGACCGGTTCTTTAAATTCTTTTGTTCTACCGACGGATCGACCTCTTTTACAATCCTAACAATTCCACAAATGTTATTCATTAATTTTTTGTTTTGATTTTTATACACCTTGTTCATGGAAATTCCCAAGAAAATTCTACAGATGGCGCTGTACGACTAGTGAACAGCGTTAGTGCTCTTGACTATATAGCCATGTTGAAATTTACCGTAATGGTATAAAGAAGATGCTCGAGTGGTTTGCAGAATGTTGGGGTACATGATAGAAAGTTGGTTTATTACGCCAGAAAAAGGCATCATCTTGCTATATAACGTGCAGTGTGTATGGACCAAAGAAAGCTTGATGAATGCAAACAGGAGAAAACAACTGCGTCCACGCATATGATGCTGTGGATTGCTGGATGAACTGATCCTCGTCATTTGCGTTATCATCAAACCATTATTCTTTTCTTGCTTTCAAAATGACACGTTTCAAATTTTTACTAATTGTATATGCACGTACGGGATTGTCGTGATGTGATTCTAATTTTCTGGTAGCTACTTTCCGATATGTTGCTACTTGTGTTGCGCAGTTCTTGTGAAGCGAGTTACTTTGTGCAGCGAATTCCTTAAGTTTTAACAAATGGGAGCAACTGTTTTTATTAATAATAAAATTGTTTACTCAAGGTATTAGTAAATATACGATTCACTACATTTTCTCCTTGCCACGTTTTAAAACATTTTCATTTGTACAAGTTATAATAAACCTGTTGGATTTTACGTTCACATTGCCCTTTATTTGGCCGCGTATCAAAACACTATTTCACACAAATAATTATATATTCTGAAATGTCTTAGATGATGAACCAACAATAAATATCAGTAATATAAATGAATTTTTATTCAGACCTCTAGATCCTATATCGTATTGTAAAATATAAAGGTAAATGTGCTTTTGCAAAGAGTCACTTTTATATAAAAATAGGAATAGACTTTTCTCGATATTTATGGTAATTATCATTTGAATTACCATACGAATATTCTTAAATACAAGTTTTAAGTATAAATACTAGTTTCACATATAAACAGTAAAAATTGAACACAAATAGTTGAACTCGCATTACAACGAATTAGTAATCAAATTTTTCTTTGAATCCGCTTTATGTGTATAGTAAACAGTAAGATATTGAGGTTCAAGTTAAAATTTTTACTTGATCAACTTTTATATTGCCATTGTATAAACGGAAATCAAAAGACTAATCAATATGGCAAAGCAAGACTACAAGTAAAGATCAAGATAAGAGTAAATAACCGACATTTAAGATTCATGGATTCCCTAACAGTTTCCACGGTTTATATATAGGCCACCCTTTCAGACCAGTCTGGCAATAAAATGAACTTAAAGTGTCAGTAAAGATATTAAAGGAAAATATTTTATGTATATTTTGTGGTGCATATGTGTTTTTTTTTATCCTGGGTTCGATCGAAGCCTTGGGGTTAGGTGGAGCTGTTACAGAGAGATTCTAAGAGAATCCTCCATAACTTACATGGACAAACTACGGCTCGTGGGGCAAAATCCGACCCGTTGGGTAATTCGATCTGGCCCAGTTGATGCTGCCACAACCAAACTAAAACCAAATTTTTATGTTTTACCTGAAAAATAGCTTGAGTAATTTGTTAAGATTGCGATTAAACTTAGCACAAGTTTTGGCATGAGGCTCATTGTTTTCCACTTTTGCTTTTGTAACACTATAAATATTGTTCATAAAATGTAAAATGACCCACCAGTCTATGCGGGCTAAATTTTTGGCCCCTGATCCAGGAACCTTGCTCTGTATTCTAATCCTATATCTCGAAGTAATTGTATTATCAAGCCTATTAATTAAGTAAACATAACTACAGTTCACTGCAAATATTCAAACGTCCACGTTTTAAAAAGGCTTAACTGTGTGTTTTTTCACGCAGATATAAGTTTTAGTGGACCTACTAATTAAGACTGTTAGAGTCTACGCCACTTTTCAATCGGAGTGCAATTTCCAAATGCCTATGTGTGATACAGCTTTAACAACTATTATTAAGAATATAATTAAAGTCGCTTCGGTAGTGGGGATATGTCAGGATATGAGGATATATGCAAAAATATGTCATTGAGCAAAATGGAGCCACGATTTAAAAAAATTTGTGAAAGAATTGCAATAGCACAAGGGTCAATAAAACGACAGCTTGTTATATTCTACTGATAAAATATATCCCAGTGTTATGGCCAAGTTAAAAATATGAAGTAGTTATAAATGAAATTTCAGTAAGGAATATTTCATGCACAGAGCTTCACGTACGTTTATCATTACACGTTCCGAACGACTTCAATATTATTTATATATATCGTGTGTCTATTTATACATGCAAAACAATA